ATCCGAAAGTCAGCAAATCTAAAGATGAGAACTTTAGCGGTGATACGAGACAACTTAACACCCGGAGTCCCCCACAAATTATACATGTAAAATCCTGGTGTTACGCTCTACGCCTTAGTAGGGAGGAAAAACGTAATTTACAGCGTTTCGATATGAAAGTTTTGTCACGATCACTTACCTAAACTCTTGTCGCGAAACGATGCAAATCAAATCTTTTCCCCAAATACGGCGTTTGCATTTCGCACGTCATCTTCAGCGTAAATCTAAAACAAATTGCGCGATAAATTCTAATTTATTACAAGGTAAATACCGCCGACGCCACGAATTATGCGGGCTAGGTAAGTCAACGGATCCTATAGCCAAATCAGCGATATAATAAGGAGGAAAACAGTGAAGCAAGAATGCTCGAAGTTCCCCGTCGGGCTGGTGTAGTGTCACGGGCTCGCCTCTGCTGTCTGACTGAACGTCGATACCGGTCGCCGATAACACAAACATCTCGCCGCTGCTTGATATCCACAGCCGGATGCCCCTCTTCCTCTCCCCCCCAAAAAAACAACGCTGGCAAATATCCGGGTTTATCGGTGTTATAAGATGGAAATAATGATGGGAGATAAATTCCTCTATCTCCATTGCTCATTCCATGGAGCGTCAAGAGATGCTACACTTTATTAAACTTCTTCGAGGAGTTAGCGCTTAGAAATAAGTGAGGTTACCCCTGTAGCTGAGCGAAGATGAAGGTGAGGGATAAGCTAGTTTTAACTCTCCGTCGGAGCAGGCAGCGGCGAGTGAGCGGAGTATAGGCAGTGTTCATAGGTAGAAGGTCGGGAAATAGCTACACGCGTCACTAATGCTCTCATGTACGACATATTTGTCACTAATGCTAGGAGAGCGCGACATATTTGTTACTAATGCTAGGAGATCGCCACCTATTTGTTACTAATGCTAGGAGATCGCGACATATTTGTCACTAATGCTAAGAGATCGCGACATATTTGTTACTAATGCTAGGAGATCGCGACATATTTGTCACTAATGCTAAGAGATCGCGACATATTTGTTACTAATGCTAGGAGATCGCGACATATTCATATTTGGCCTAAACAGCAGCAAGAGATGGTTAAATCTTTGATACTCTTGTGAACATTATAATAATAGTGGCAAGAGACGGTAGAATTGTCATAGCTACGCAGAGATTATCGCAAGGAAACATCTTACATTTTTGCTTCCCGGAAAGAGCACCTGCAGATTTTTTGTGGTTAATCTAACTTTACCGTGAAGATATTTCTCAAATGTTTTCAAATTTCCAATTGAAGATAGGGCTGAAAAACAACTAAAATATCTTCTATTACATAGAAATAATCATTAAAGACTTTTTGAGATGCAGCTGGAGGGAAGCTCGGTCCACATTGTCTATAAAGAGTTCAGAGGTGCTAGGAGCTCAACAGGGCATCCACACGGGTTTAATTGGTGTGTCCCTGACAACTTTTCAGAAATCACAGCATCATATTTTTTGATGCTGTGATTCATTTTGATTTTTTGACGTCCTGGACTCTCAGTCGACTTGAGAATGGTCCAGGACGGACCGAAACGTCGTCGTCCCTTCACCTTCTACTGTGTGGTCTGGCCAACATCACAGCATCAGTTCCTCGTCACAATAAATTAATGTACCTCGTCACAATACAATTATATTTTGTTTAGATGGATCCTTGTCAGAAATATTAATTTGGAATAATCTACATTTTTTCCAACTTGTGTATATGTTGCTTGTAGATACTTAACTGTCATACGCGTTTACGGTAACAAAGCTAATATGTTATTAGACAATTTTATTGAAATATAGAAGACAAACTTCACATCGGGCAATGGTTCACTGTCTAGAACAACTGCACCAATATCCACTGACAATCATATCCTTAAAATAGATCAAACAAGAGATAAAACAAAAATATATTAAACTGGCATTCTTATCGTAATATGATATGGTTGAGATATTGCTGATTGTATAAGGTTTCGGATGATTCCATGTAAATATCGTGTTGTTTTTTAATTCACTGAACTTGTTTTATCTAGATTTTATATTAAATTTACCAAGAAAAACATCCAGTAAAACATTCAAAAAAGCACCAGGAGCTCATTATATCCTCAGAGGACCTACTTGTCAATATTTCTGATGCTGTCAGAGACCTGAATCAGAACAAATATCATTGTAAGTGAATTTGCTCATCTTGATACCTGATCGAAAGAAAATATTTTTTGACAATCAACGTCTCGGCTTTATGGATGTGAACTATGTGATCTGCGAAATCCAGACTTCCTTGGGTTGAATTGTGAACAGAGGAAATGTTCAAGAGTGTTCCTGAACACTCGAACACTTGAATGTTCTATGGAGTGTATTTTGGCACTTATTACAATCTCCTGCTTGGCCTGATGTCCTCACCTACACTTGAAGAAATAATTCTCATGTAAATGATGTTTTTTGTCAGTAGGAAATTATCCAACTAGCAAAAACAATACGCTATTATTTTTCCTGGCGTTCACTTATCACTTGCTGCTCAGATTTCGTCAGAAACATCAACTTCATTGCTAGGAAATACAACTTAGGAATGAGTGGTGTATTAACGTAGCAGGTATACAGAGAATAATACTAGTGAGCATGGAGAGGGGGGATACTACCCTCTTTCCCCCCTCCACCCTCCCAGATGAAAATTTAAAACGACCAAGGAATTACTGGCATAAAAAGTTGGCTTATAGACTAGCATTTTAAATTCTATTGCAATCAGCTCTGTGTTTCATGAACTATGGGGTCGGTGTAATTTTGCTTCAGGGCTAGTCCCTGAATTTCTCCAACTGTGTGGTATAATTAGCTTGTTTTTTATCTTTCAGATTTAATTTTTATAAATCTAATTTCATGTTGTATATTATGTTCTATTTATAAACAATAAGTTTTGTACAGCTATACACCCGTACAGCTGTACAGCTGTCAAGAACCTTACAGCTTACACCTGCTGACTACAGCCACAACTGTAATAATGTGCCAACACTTTAGAACTTCTAAATCTAATTATATCCCTGGACATTACATTTATTGAATTTTCAGCCGAAACGTTTGATGACTATACCACAAAAATATAAAATTTTGTAGAGTTTATGACTCGAGATTTATTTGTACTTAGAAGTATCTTGTAGACTTTTACATACAAAGCTTCCATTTCTGTTTTGCACAGGTTCTGAGTTTCACGATCAAATATCAGGAAAGAGCTTGTTTAGTTCTCAAGATAAAACACCATGTTCTGAGACGAGAACATATATTGATTAAGAGCATGATATTCTGCTCCAGTCTCTTGCTAAGGATATCGTTCAGATATAGTTGACCTTAACGCTTATGCAGGAATCATATTGGGAAAAATCTTGTTTCCGTCTCCTGAGAAATGCTTCTCTCGGTCCGCTAAATTTGTGTGGATTTGGTGAAATCTATTTTTTTTTGGCGAAATTGTCCCGCATGAAAGAATATTTCTTAAAACTTTCCTCTTCCAGTATAGCCAAGAAGACGATGAATTCTCATTTGGTTTAGTTATCAAGAAGAAACCATTTCCAACCACGATATCCTCTGAGTACATGGTTGTGATCCGGCTTGATCATCTAGATATAGCAGAGATACGACGCAGATGTTGTGTTCAATTGAACGTTATCAGTATTGCTCCTTATGTCTGCGGATGCTCCCTTCGTACTCTTCGCAAAATTGCTCAGAGATATCGCTCTGGAAATGTTGCCTACTACACTACGCACTCAGCATGTAGATCACAAATGTAGATCAGACTGATTTTAACAGATATAACAACATGTAAATATAGGTTTCGTGTACTTGACTATTCGATCATTTCCGAATATATATATATATTATATATATATATAATTATACACATATATAAAGCTATATATATTAGGCTTTAAATATATTCAATATTAATATAATAACGCTCATTTTATTTAACATAGACTTATGTCTAAAGCTATATTCACTTTGGCTATTAGACTAAACGGTGCTTTCATTCTAGGCCTAGTAACAGAGCTGCCTAACTAGGCCTAGTATTTGTTAAGCAGGATATAAAATTAGTTAATTTTGGTCGGTCCTTCTTTGACTGCTAGATTTGTGTATTTACTGCGCTCTTCCCTGGAGTTTCGGTTAGATTTCGCGCAGGATGGAGACGTTGGAGGCCACGTTTCTTTGCACCTGATGCTCCTTTTCACCTAGCAGTAGTTACTCGGTAGTTAGGTAACTGATGTGGGTTATATCCTGGGAAAGGGCAGTTGCAAGCGTAGGGAGACCAATTACAAATAATGTTTATTATATTCACCTCCCATACACACCTGCAGGGTGTACCATCCCCCTCTCATACACACACACACACACATCTGCAAGGTGTTCCGCCCCCTCTCATACACACATACCTGCAGGGTGTACCATCCCCCTCTCATACACACACACCTGCAAGGTGTACCGCCCCCTCTCATACACACACCTGCAAGGTGCCCCGCCCCCCCCCCTCTCATACACACACCAGCAGGGTGTACCGCCCCCCCTCTCATACACCAGCAGGGTGCACCGCCCCCTCTCATACACACACCAGCAGGGTGTACCGCCCCCCCCCCCTCTCATACACCAGTAGGGTGCACCGCCCTCTCTCATACACACACCAGCAGGGTGCACTGCCCCCTCTCATACACACCAGCACACAACTGCATTACCGTCACCCCCCAAATATCTTAGTAACTTCTGTTCACATGTTCGTGGTGGACTCCAGCATATTGTAGTGCGTGTCGCTGGAAGTGTCCGTGCGGCGGACGCCCGTACATGTCCCAAGTCAGAATGCAAACGTTTGACGGGCGAGGCACGGAGGGCGGACGTGGTACGGAGGGCGGGAGTGACACGGACGGCGGACGTGACACGAATGGCGGGCGTGACACGGACGGCGAACGTGGTACGGAGGAGGTTGTCTTACCTGGTTTAGGCACGTTTCTCTTGACCTGCATCCACTTGTAGGTGGGTACGGACTGCTGCGGCTGGTGGTGAGGGAGGGCGTGGGGCGAGCCGCCCATCATTCCGCCCACACCGCACGCCTCCCTCACACCCTCGTGGTGGGCGTAGAGGCCCATGCTCATGTGTCGGTACTGGGCGGCGGGGTCCAGGTAACCTGGGTATCCCCCCGCCCCCGCCGGCGACATGACGCCCGACTGGCCGCCCACGCCACCCGCCACGGCCTGGACGGCGCTGGTGTAGTCGTAGCCCTGGGAGACGTGGTGCTGGGCAGCCGCCATGCCCCCTGCAGCGTGCCCAGGGTAGCACACGCTGCTATACTCGTCCAGGTTGGTGTAGGAGGAGGGCACGTGGGCGTCCTGTAGGCTGGTGTGCTGAGGCCGGTGGTGATCGGTGGGCGTGAGGGCGGGCGGGATGTAGGTCTGGCCTTGGACTGCCTCGTGGGACTGGCACTGGGCGTAGTAATGCTGGAGCTCCGAGGAGTAGGCCTGGCTGTGGTAGCCGGACTCGGCGTTGCACACACCGTACACCATGTTGGTGTTCATGTGGCCGCCGCTAGCGTCACACTGACCCGCGCCTGGCCAGGCCCGCCCCGCGCCCCCCTCTCCCACGCCTCGCCCCGCCCACCCCACGCCCCGCCCACCCCGCAGGTACTCGCACACACACAACATACACAACACACGCGCTATACCAACTCGCAACACCCAGACCTGTTACACAAGCTGAGTAAACACTCTTGCTGTAGTCAGTGTTGGAGATTGGTAGACGAATGCTGTATTGCGCAGACACGTGGGGACATGCACACGGCGAGATATACACACGGATACTGATACAAGCACACGAACGAACACATATACACGCGGACTCATATACAGTAAAGTAGGGTATAAGATGCTTCTAGAAGGTAGCACGGCATTTTCGTGCTTGAGTACATAGAGGGGCTCAAATGATTTGGGTAGACAGAAAAAAAACCCTATTGAAGAAGATGAGAGACTATAGACGTATTGACCTCAGCAAGATGAGGGACTTCCTGCGTGAAATCCAAAGGGAGAGATAAATAGGGAAGACAGCAAGTTGAATTCATTGCTCGGAAATGTGCCGATTCAAAGGAATACTTCATACCTCTCAAGAAGGCAGAGGAAAAAAATTGGGCAGACTCCCTGGTTCAATAGGCAAGAAAGGACAACAAATGCCTGGCAAAAATACGGAAACAAGGAACAGAGGAGAGTAGAGAGGCCCTAAAGAGAACCACGAAAAAAGTACCGTAGTCAGGAGAGAAGCTGACAGCAGTTTTGAAAAAGATATTGCTGCAAAAGCTAAGGACCAACCAAAGCTGTTCGATAGCCATATAAGAAAAAAACAACAAAAAAAAACAAAAATAAGAGACCAGGTACTCAGATTGAGGAGCCAAGGGGCAATTCTTACAGAAAACGATAAGGAAGTATGTGAGGCTCTCGACAACAAATTTCAGGAGCTCTTTACAATAAAACTATTTATTTATTTACTTATTTATTTATATACAAGAAGGTACATTGGGTTTGTGAGAATACATAGCATAGTCCAGTAATTGCACTCTTGTAAAGCCACTAGTACGCGCTGTGTTTCGGGCAGGTCCTTAATCTAACAGATAATTTTAAGTAGGTAAATTCTATGGTTTAATGTAAAAACTATGGTTTGTAATATGTAAAAACGTAAAAAACGTTTGTAATATGTAAAAACTATGTAAAAACCATGGTTTTTACAATGAGACCATGGTTGCTGGATGAAAGACCGGAAGAAACAATGGATGATACTGTAATCTCTGTTGAATAGGTAAAAAAAAATGGATGAACTAATGAACAAGATGTGACAAAATCAAAGAAAGAGTTGGGAGTGAGTATAACTGGAACGCTCACAACTGAAGGCACACATAAACAGGCTAACGTCGGCAGCATATGGAACTCTAGCAAACATAAGAACATCGTTTAGAATACCAAATCAGGACTCCTTCAACGCAATCTACATAGCCTTTGTTAAACCAATACTGGAATATGCACCTTGTGAAGCATAACACTAATGGAACAAAATCTCATATCTCAAAAGGACAGAAGAAACAGAGGGTGGGGATATAACCACAACATACAAGATACTGAGCGAAATAGACAAGGTGGGCAAGGACATTTTCTTCAGATTGAAAGTAGCACAAGAGGACATAAGTGGAAGCGCAAAAGAGTCGAAGAAATATAACGAAATACTCGTACTCAGTACGGGTGGGTATGAGTATTTCCTTACAGTCCATTACATTTGTTGCTATATAAGAAGAAGTTGTGGAAACCACCTCCACTCACAGCTTTAAAGGTAGATTTGACAAAGACGTCGGGCTTCAGACTCTTTAAATTGTAAGGCAATAGGTACAACAAGGGTAGTGGCGGGGCATGAAGACCTCATCACCCCGTGAACACTGAGAGGTAAATACAAGCTCACACTCTCGCTGCAACATTCTTTAAAGTTGACATCTTCATACATGGTTAAATTTTTGCAAAAGAATTTACCTCGGGGAAAAATGAACGTTAAGATATCAGTAATAAAAATAATATTGTCCTGATTTTTTTTTTATATAAATTAAAGGATTGAAACGCAAAATAATTAAACATTTGTACATAAATATTTCCAGTTCAAAAGAATCATTATTTTTCAAAACTGAATTTTTTGCCCTTGAAAACAAATTTACCAAATTTAATTATCAATTTGACATGAGAAGAATGACATCATGTCCTGAATATACCGGTACAAATATTTGATAAAGACAATTATTTGAAACCTCTTTGTATACATTGGTAGTGTATTTTCAGACTTGTACATGAACAAACCCAGATGCATGCTACATTTGTTTCTTGCCCCTTGTAGAATTCATCTGTCTTGCGTATTATTATAAAACTCTGAACTGAAAATGTGCACTTAGGATTGCATAGAGAACATGAGAACATAATAATAAAGATAACTGTAGAAGGCCTATTGGCCCATACGAGGCAGCCCATATTTATAACCACCCCAATCCTATTCATACATGTCTAACCTACGCATGAAACAATCAAGAGGTCCTACTTTTATTATGTTATGCGGTAATTGGTTCCACAAATCAACAACCCTGTTACTGCACCAGTATTTACCCCAGGTCTTTCCTAAATCTAAACTTATTCAATTTATACCCATTGTTTCGTGTTCTGTCATATGTTGATACTTTTAATACTCTTTTTAAGAGAGGTTTGCCTAGGACTAGCAACTGCTGACCTTGCCCAGGAGGCACACCCACAACTCCTGGATATCTAACTCTTGCCTAACTCCTGGGTATCTATGTACTGCAAGGTGAACAGAGACATTAGGGGGAAAAGAAACGTGCACAACCAGTCACACCAGGGAGGGATCGAACTCGAAATCCTTGATTGTGAGTGGTGAACGTAGAGCACTGTACTACAATACCCCTATAAATCCTGTAAAATAACTGTAAACCGAATGAAGTAGAATAAAATAAACGAAAACAAGAAATATATAAAGCAGCATAAATTCATGATAAAACAGAAATAAAGTAACGAAACCCCTTATATGCTCAGAAACCTTGACAAAATAAATATGAAGCGAGCCAGTAAAAGAACTGTATCCTATTTTAAACTGGCATTATTGATCTATTACACCGAGGGAAGCCAGTGCATATACTCACTAACACAATCTAAGACGCAGAGCAAACCCCGTCCACAGACACACAATCCAACTCATAGAAGGAGCCTTTTGCACTTGTAAACACCGGGGTAATTGTAGCCCACACGGAGCTGCTGGGAGGGGGGAGGGAGGCTCTGGGAGAGATAGGAGGTGGGAGGAAGGGGGCCAGAGAGGTGGGAGATTGGAGGCGGGAAAGATTGGAGGTTGGAGCGAGGGTGAGGGACATAGGAGAAGGACAAGATTGGAGATTGGTGGAAGGGAGGGTGGGAGACAAGGAGTGGGAGGGAAAGAAATAATAAAGGAAAGATGAGGGAGAAGAGGGTGAGGAAGGATGGAGAGGGTGTGCTAGTAGAGCAAGAATATATATATTCTTAAAGAAGGTTAAGAAAAGGTGAGGAGAGATGGTGTATTTTGGAAGTTGGTAAAGTGTATTTAGGGGATTAGAGGAATGGGATAGGTAGAAATTGAGAATTGAGAACAAGGAGTATCCGGCGTTGCTGGGGAGATACCTTGAGGTTACCTTGGAGGATACATCTTTACTGTCTCCATCACTGTACCCACCTTTATGGGGACACCTCTTAACATCCCATCTGCAACCATCGTCATCACACACTTAGCTCTTCACAACCTGCCTTACTCTTCACCACCTTCCCTTTCCTTCACCACCTTCCCTTTCCTTCACCACCTTCCCTTTCCTTCACCACTTTCCCTATCGTTCACCAACTTCTCTTCTCTTCACTTTCCCTTCACTGTAATCATCTATACTTGTCGAAGTCTTCACTAATAAACTATATAAATTATATTATTTAATCATGTTGAAAATAACATGGAAGATGAAACTAAGTGAGCATGGAGTCACGTATTTAGAGAGATTGAAAATTAGTATCTTTACAATTTTATGAACAGGGGGGCATGTGGGGTCAGCCCCACATGTTTCATGTAGGTCACCCTACAAAGGTAGTTGAAGCTAGCCCCACGTTTCTGACCTCGAACCTCAGACACAAACATACATTCTTATATATATATATATATATATATATATATATATATATATATATATATATATATATATATATATATATATATATATATATATATATATATATATATATATATATATATATATATATATATATATATTTATATTTGTTCACTTCATCCAAAACTGTTGCAACATATCACCTCACCCAAATGCGAGTATATAAGACAAGCTGTTTAATGTTAGCATTAAGTAAAACTCTGTTAAGTGTTATCAGGTTACAGTTGTGTGTGTGTAAACTAAAGTCTTTGAAAATATAATAAGTAATTACGAAACGCGTTCAAGCGTCGCGTCAGGCTAGAAATAAAAATGAATTTTGGAGAATTGTTTTTTCAATTACCATCGACAGTAAAAAGAAACATAAGAAATAATTATTTTATTTAGGTACACATTGTTTTAATTAATACATGAATGCATACCAGTATGTTTTTACACAAATGTGTTGTCTTGCATTCTGTTGTGTATCCAGTATTGTTCTTATGGTTATCACCATTGATAAAAATAATGTTATCTTCAATATACGGAGATACGAGGGCACACTTGAACATGTTTACCATGAAAAATAAGACAAGACTCGCTAATTTATCGCGCGAGACTCTAGTTTATCGGACAAGACTCTCTAATTTATCGCGCAAGACTCGCTAGTTTATCGCGCAAGACGCACAAATTCCTTGCAAGATCTCCAGGGAGGAGAATTTGCTGAGTGACTCGCTCCGAGGGTTCCTTAGGGTAGGCTGTCAATGTAGGTTTTCTTTCTCATATCATTGGCGCACTTTTATCCCCAATAGTCCAAAACTTTTATGTAATCGG